TACTGCATGTTCATGCGCACGGTGTAGGTGGCGATCATCAATGTCCGAACAGCGACACGGAAAAGATACGTCAGGAGTCCATCTGCGTTGCCATGTGCGGTAGTTGTAGATCCTGTCTCCCAAAGTGGCACTGCGAGTTTCCACCACCCGGATCTTTGGAAGAAATAGGGAGGGGAACAAGTCACGATGTGAAGCGACCCAACGTTGTAACCACGTGCCAAGTTGAGCTTTCCAATTCGGTACATGTAGAGGCGGTAGAAGTAGTTGTGTCAAAGTGCTTGGTGTTTGGAGCTGTCGTTTGCGCATCACCTGGGCGAGGAGCTTCTGTGCCTTTGAACGAAAGGGCTCGTTGACGAAGACGGAGAGTCGCAGGAAGTAGTAGAGCTGAGTGGGAGGAAAAGCTGCCGACAGTAGGTCTCGCATGGCCTGAAACGACGCGCCTGTGTTGGATCCCAGCTGATAAAGAGTGGAGTAATGCGCTTGAATGTCATCCAACATTTCAGGTCGTAATTGCCGCTGAAGATCTGGATGTAGTCGTCGTCGAAAACGTTTGTGTAGACCGAGCGAGGTGGGAGACGACAACGAATGACGTCGAAAGTCAACTAGATGCTCCCGGAAGCCCACCTTTCGAAGAAGTCTATGTACCCAGGGTGCATTCAAATGCGGACGCAGCAAGTATTGCCACTTGCTTTCCTGGACCCAAACCGAGGAAATGGGAAGTTTGATCTCAACCGGAATGGCACAGAAAAGCCAGTAAGTGTTGGTGCGCTTCCAGTAGTGAAGTGCAGGTTCGAAGAAGGCATGACGTCCCCGAAGTAGTTGTAGAAATTTGCGACTGCGTGAGTGTTCTCGTCGTAGAACATCCTGATCAGTTGCACCAACGTAGTATGGCGTGTGCCATGGAGAAAGTCGGATGTAAACGCATGGTTGTTGATGGTGACCTGGATCGTGAATGAAGTCATAGAGGTCCGGAAAACGTGTCCGTAATGAGCGAAGATGTCTTGTGTCTGCAAAGGTGGAATGCATAATTTCGCACAACAGAGATGTCTTGTAGAAGTGAAGAACCTCGAAGAACGGTGGGACGTATCCATAACCTTGAGAACTGAGACGCTGCAAGAAACTGATCAATAAATAGGCCGTGCACCGGCACCTGTGAAGTTCATACCTGTTGGCCACAGTGTGGTAGGACTGTGACATGGCGTGAATCGGAATCTGAAGTGCAATCCGGACCACAACTAGTACTTCCAGAATAAGGCCCAAGCAAGGTAGTTGTACAACTGACTCATATTCATCCATTGGTATCGACGGTGGTGGTAGTCCAGGAAAGCAGTATTGCCAGCACGTAGAGAACATTGTCAACGAGTGCGGAAAGGTGTCCAAGGAATGCCATTGTGCAACATCATCATAGATTCCACAGCGGCGAAGCTCAGCCAACATGGTGAACATGCAACCAATGAAATCTACAGTGTGGCGGCGACATGAATGCAAGCGGCAATTAATACCAAGCAAATGACAACGCAAGCACAGACAAGCGCATCATCAAACAAGTGCAAAGCAAGAAGAGGACGGACGAGTTTTGAACCTTTCCTCAATCGTGACACAGCTGCCGCTCCGGGCTCATAAGTGAACGAAGGGGACTGCTCACCCACTGAGTAAGCGGGCGGTCACGATGAGGTGACACAGCGCCTTGTCAGTGAGCTTGGTGAGGTAGCCAGGCTCCAGTCCCCACAGAGCCGCCATCGCCGCAAACGTAGGTGCGTCTCCTTTTGAAGGACTTGTTGCCGTTGAGACGGGACGGGTGATTGGCCCACTTGATCAATGACGCCAAAGTGGTGGTTGTGGGCGATTGCTTGAGATACAAGCGTGGCTGATCACTAGTCCATGTGTAGTACTTGATGACGTCATCCGGCGTGCTGTGCATGGTGAGCAATTGTGACGCCGCCGGCTTGGAAGGCGGTGAAGAAAGTCCGTGAAGAGACTGAATGATCCGGGGTTGCACCGCGCCATCAAACGACTTGCCATCAAGGGCCGCTGCGCTGGCCGTAGGGAGGGAGCTGGGAGGTGACGAAGATTGTGTGTGGTTGACCGGTGGTGGTGTAACCAACTCGGCATCATCCTTCTGGTTTGGCACCGTGGGGGAAGTCGAAGCGCGTAACGATGCTGAATACTGAGCCTGGAGCAACTCATGAGCACGATTTAGATCATTGTACTTCTTGACCATGTCATCCGTTTGGGTAGAAGGCGTGAGAGTCGCGTGGTGTTGCTGAAGAAACTGAAGCACCAAGTTGGCCAAATGGTCATGAACCTTGATCCGCTGATTGAAGTCGTCCAGGTTGAGCCCCAGTGAGCTAGCAAGGTCCTTTTCCAAGGTAAGCAGGTTGATCGACTGGGAACGTCGTAGTAGTTTGGAACAGGTACTCCAAAGTAAGGCCTCGGTGCGAGTGCGAAAGCCTTCCCACGTCACGAATCTGCCGTGAGCAAACGGTCGGAGCAGCCAGTTGGTGAGGCCCCCATGAATGACCTGAACCAGGCGAACGTCACGAATGTCCATGCCGGACATGTCACGTAGGTTGTTGTGCGGGGTGTTGGCGACCGTCATGGGCAGGCTGAAGTTGTAGAGCTGGTTGATATCTAGCATGCCATCTCCAGGTGTCCAGTCAACCGATGGTGTAAGCCAGGCTTTCTGAGGTCGAACCGGCAGGGCTGCAGGGTATCCAGGTGATGGTGTAGCTTGCGAGGGAGTGACCGTTGGTGGCATCACGGGCGTCATGAACTTCGCTGGCGTGGGCTCCGGAGGAACTGGCATCATGTAGTTGACCGGTGAATGATGGAACTGCTGCGTGGGGTTTTGAATCGACTGATCATTACCGGGAAATTGTTGCCGGAGTTGTAGCCGGAATTGTGTTGCCAAGATACCAGGTTGTTCCAATCCATGCCCCCCGAGACCTGGTTGTCATTGTGTTCACGTCGGCGTGCTTTACGAGCTTGAGGGGAAGGACTCCGATCACGTCTGCGCCGAGTCCTAGATCTGTCACGATCATCACGTCGAGACATGATGGCGCAACCAACTCACAACCGCAACTCCACAATCTTGAGAGAAACGAGTCCGACAAAATGCAAGTCCACGCAAGTTCAAGTCAGCAGCCATCAGCAGCACTGGTGAGACGTCTCTATGATCTGACGGCTGTCTTCCCTTTAGTGAAACCTCGTTCCTGGTTAAATGTGAAATTCCGCTGTTCTATGATAAGTACGTTGAGGTCAAATTGTCCGACAAAGCCGGCCCGGGGTCACACAATGGGTACACTCGAGGATTCCCCATGAATGGGGTGTACACACTTAAACTCCAGATGGAGGGTGCTAATCTTTCGAGTACAACTGATGAGTCTCGAGTACAACTGATGAGTCTCGACTGGGTTCTGCTCGCGATGCACTCGGCTTCCCTCTAGCAGCGAACACGTTACCCGAAAGAAGAAGAAGCACAAACAGCGCCGCAACCAAGGGGCCAAAAGGACATTCAGAATCACGGAAAGCAGGTACGCCGGATTGATCAGATCCGGTATCCCATGACTGAGGTAGCTTCGTTGAGTGCGGTCCCTCAGTCATGCCGCACTCCCCTGCTACTAATAGTGGTGACAGGGTATTCTGTCACTCCGCACACACACACAAAGCAAACCTACCCCCACCATGGCTGGCATGCTATGGTGCTTTGCTGTTTTGGGTTTTGTCTTTCGGTTTGTGTTGTTTGTTTGCTTGCTTGCTTGCTTGCTTGCTTGTTTGTGTTGTTTGTTTGTTTGTTTGTTTGCTTGCTTGCTTGCTTGTTTGTTTGTTTATTTGTTTGCTTGCTTGCTTGCTTGCTTGCTTGCTTGCTTGCTTGCTTGCTTGCTTGCTTGCTTGCTTGCTTGCTTGCTTGCTTGCTTGCTTGCTTGCTTGCTTGCTTGCTTGCCATGTTCTGCAACACGTGGAGGATGTTGCGGCGCAACATTCCCCATGAATGAAAGTTGGAGCCACTACTTCTTAAGAGGTCTTTTAGTGGGGTATGGCCAAATGCCCGAACTGCTATTGTTACTGGATTTGTTGGGTGAGTAGAGGCCAAGATGCAGTTGGTGTATGGAAATGGTGTTTTATGTGCTATGTTCTTGATCTCTTTGTTTCTTTGTTTTTGGCTATTTATTTGTTTGGAGAGATACCTCATATATAGATATATAGAATATCAGTATCGGTGCTGTATTGATCTATTCATGCATCTATCCATTTTTCCGTGCCTCTATGTGATCATAAGCCGATGTACATCCTGTCACATGCATGGTACAAACTGTATCATAGATATATGTACATATGTACATATACATACTTGAGGAGGGGGTGAACGAAAGCTAGCAACTGTTGTATGAGACGGGTCGCAAACAGAATGGATTCTATAGGTAGCTTGTGCACCCATGAGAGGCGCCATAAAGATCCTCAGGAGGCTACATGCAATATGCAGACCGAATGCCCTGGAAATGTGTTTCTGGATCGAAGTCCCTGCTTGAGGTGGGGGGGGGGGGGGGGGTGGATCAGGGGGATTCGAGCCCGGGAAGGGGGGGGGGGGGAGGGGAGGGGTCTAAATAATTGAAAATCAATCTTTCGGCATTTCAGCCCCTTACCTTGCTTACGCAAGGAGAAACTTCAGCCAGCTAAAGCTAGCTTTCGTGATATGTGCACAAGTGTATGCATTGCAGGAAGATTCGATATACAAACATATTTGTGCATATGTCTATACTCATTGTGACATACATTTAGCTCCGTTCAGGTCGAAGTGAAGAGAATGTGTCTCAGGACTGGATATTGGACCTTGACAGTCTTGCTTGCAAAAATGTACATATTGTGTTCGAAACATCCTGCAAAGGGCAGTGAATGACAAGGAGAAAGGGTTCTCCAACCAACAAAAAAAACATGTACAGCTTGCTGGCTGTCCGGGTTCATCACCCGCCCCTTTGATCCTTCCGCATCAAGCTGTTGGCCTCCGGAGCTCTTCACGCTCGCCACGTACTTGGTGCCTGGCGGCACGTCATACCTGGCAGGATCCATAGCAGCTTGCTGAAACGTCAACATGCACGCGAGCCCTAAGAAAGCCAATGCCCCAGACTCCGCTTTGAATTGCTGATATTCCAGAAACAAGCCAGAAAACCGGCTGCTATGTGTCATTTGGAAAAACAACCACTCATTGGATGAGTCAGCTATGTCTGCGAATAACATCCACCTGAATCTGAAGCGAGGCATCGCTTGCTTTGAAAGCGCCTCTTTTGCAAGCACCAATAAATATGCAAGAGTACTGATAAGGAATCAACCCAACTCACTAAAGGTGAGTCTCCCCTGGGATTCTCACTAAGGGTATCACATCGGTCATCAAGCTTGGAGGTCTGCCACTAGGGTGGCCAGGAATGACTAGATCTGGAGCAAAGGCAGCTCCAATTCAAGTCTAGCAAAGCCACTCCTTCATTGCTGTCAGGCAGGCGCACTCGTAAAAGGCATTGGAGACCTCGTTGCCGATCTTCCGGCAAGGAATCACCTGTTCACTATCAAAGCTCACCCGGTTGTACAGGGCCTTTAGAGGCCCTTCAAGAAGAAGGTAACAAGGATCCTACAAGATCACCGACAATACTAGTTCACCTCAAACGGATTTTGTGCACATCCTCACAAACGTCAAAACAGCTTTGAGAAGTATCCCCATTAACTGAAGACGCAACCCCAAGACGCCAACACTGCCAGGACAGCATCTGGCAACTTGACCGCTTCCAGGCATCTACCAGCCCTAGAGCCTTCTTGGAAAGCTAATTCAGCAAAAAATGTCTGGGAAAGCTCGGGGTTCCTTCCAAAGCCCTACAGCCTTCTTGGGTCCTTTCGGTAGCCTGGCGAGCCTGCTTGGATCGCAAAGAGAGATTGCAATGGTTGGCTTGACACACCAAGCTGCGAATCCTTATAACCATACCTCGCATACTTCTTCCATGACGAGCGTAAAGCCAATATGCCACTTACTGTTGCAAGCCAGGTCTTAGTCACTCAAAGGTCACAATCAAAAACGCGACGCAAACACATCTGCCTGTCGCATGTTGCTGACATATTGATAGGCCTTGCTTTTGGGTCTCTCTGCCCAGCTTGCGCTACTTTCATGAGATATCCCGTAGCCCTTAACTTGAATGCACACCAAACAATTTGCTGGCCCCGTTGATGTCTTCCCTGCCCCTCTACTGTCGCATAAAACCCTTGAGCCATACTCGGATCCGCGTTCTGCGAGCCTTTGCAACACGTTCATAGAACCCGGAGCAAGCGAAGCGCCTGCTCTGGCTTCCACTTGTCAAGCTTCGTGGACTTCACCTGAATCCGCCGGGGAGTGTGAGTGGGTCTCCAGAAGCTTTGGGTTGGTTGGAAAAGCTTACTGGACTGAAGTCGAAGTGCTCGGCGTAAGAACATGCCAGTTGCTGATAGGCCTCGGGAACAAGGCGACCTAAAACTATTGGAGCCTTTCTAAAACTATATATCTCCGCTCGCATCAAGACAAGCACCAAATCTAGAGATGGGCCAACGGATAGACAACGAATGATGCGTGAGTCACGAGTGGCTGAGGGTGTCCCTGTGATCTTCTGCGGATGACAATGAATGCAGAGTCAACATCCGGCCATTGTAGGCGTGCAATTCCCGTACTCTGTTGTCTTCGTAGGATCAAGCCAACCAAACAGTAGATACACACATAGTCTCATATAACCTGCCTTGGAGATGTGGGTGCCCAGGTTTCTGTGAACTCCAGAGCCTCAGCTCGCATTGTCACGCCTTCTATTCAAGCAGTTGGCAACCCGAGATTCATCCAGGGGCTCATGCGGGGCTTTTAGGTCTGCTGTCATGGCAGTTCAGCGTACTGCTGATGCGTTGATAAGATTGAAGTTGAGCCGTGGCGGCTTGCTGACCATTGGATCCTGCCTGTTTCGGTTCCCTCTTCCTGGCCCAAGTATGTTTGACAAAGCCCAACAGTGTCCGCCTGGCATCTCAAATCAACACCGGATGGGACCCATAGCTTCCGAAATATAGTCTCAAACATGTTTCCTCATCCACGTCCTTGCTTGTTTGTCTCTCAACAGATCTCATTCACGCGTAGAGTCGTGTTGTGAGCTCAATATGTTGCGTCTCAATACAAGTAGAAATATGCTGTGAATGGTACCAAGAGTCCAACATTCGTTTATGCAGCTGTCACACCGCACAAACGTATCACAGCACTGAGACCGACTACAACGCCAAATATGAGGTAGTGAACCAGCCAAGGTGCATGTCTCGCAAATGAGGATGCCCAGATTCCTGAGAACGAAAGCGGGTCTGTGGACTGCTGTGCGCCTATGCCTGCTCAACACCATCAAGGCCATACCTTGAGACTCTCCTCCGTGCCGAGGACAAGAACAAATAGTCCCAACTAACGGCCAAGAAGACAGACCGCTGGAGCTCTACGGATATGTAGGTGGGTGTGCCGGTCCATGCAACATTCACAATCTCACGCGATTTTGCATCTCACTGCAACTTGCTGCTGCCAGATGATGAGCCCTCCAAGACGTGGCATTAAATGCCAAACCAATCAAAACTCCAGTGGAATTGTGCTACATGCCAAGCTGACCTTGCAAGTAACGACTGAGACCTCCCTAAAATTTCCTGACTCGATCTTGCTCTTGCAACGACTGGCAGGATTCTCCTGTTTAGCCGTGTAAGCCTCGACTCAGTGACACGGACCCTGACAGGTTCCATGTGGCTGTGTGTGGCAGGAAGCAACCTTTCAGAGAATGCTCTGAAATAAGATTAAGAGCACCAAAATTCTGCAAGCGGCAAGCTACACCACGCGGCAACGATGGTTGGGCTTGACTATCCAGTTGAACTAGGAAACAAAGCAATCCCTTGGCTAAACCTAAACTCCAGACCCTCTGCTCCATCATATCCAAGTCACCAAGATGCCCAATTCGGCCCGTAAGCCTTGCAATCCGCACACTCCTGGCACCAAACAGTGGCACTCCCAACCAACAGGGGAATGCACTAGTCGCTTCGAATGGCTCGCACTGGTCGATTTGAATGGATCTCTCCAAATATTGGAAGCGCCAATCCTAAAATGAGGTGAAACATGATGGGCAGTCGTGCCCGCCTGCCAAACGCTTGGAGTAAAGCATTCTGTCAGGGCGTGGTTCAAGTCAAATTCTGCAGCCAATGCTCTGCATGGTTGCCATTACTGATCAGACGCTCGGGGTGGATTGTCCAGTGCTGACCGTCAGGAACATTCGACGATTACTGCCCAGAACCTGCCACCTCTGACAGCTCGGCACTGGCAGAAATTAGTGTCAGTGTCCTCTTTGATATGTGCAAGCAGTGTCGAGGAAGCCAACTGAAAAACCGAGTACAAACTGCATGCAGGAAAGACGTGTGAGAGAGGGGGGCATGTTCTCTCCTTGTTGCCAGGCCGCTCCACGATGTCAGGCGGCGCCCCGGCTTTTTCCGCCATCCTCCGCGGCATTTGATTTCTGCTAGCAAGCAAATGACAATGCTCTTGGCTTCGTTGAAAATGCTAACATGCCCCAGAAATCACATTGCGCTACGACTGTCCGAGGCCATGACATCAGTTTAAAGGTCACAATTCCCTGGAGGACTTCCCCGAGTGGAGAGGGTTTGGGCGAAGCTGGCCTGGTGAATGGCTCACGCGCTACGGCAGAAAGTATGAATTTATGGAGCAGTGCTCACGAATGGCAAACCAAAAAGTCGGATTACGACAACCTGCGGTGATAGCAGCGATGCTGGGCTTTGCACACCCATGCTGATGCATGCTTGGGCAACTAACCTGAAAAACAATCTGTGCCTGCGAGACTAGCACAAGATTTGTCAGACATATGCGTGAAAACGGATCATATTCAAGCAATGCAATCTGCATTGGCTTGTTGTGGGCATGACACATGCCGTGCAGAAAATGGGGGAGCTCACAAGCAAGACCCGACTGCCTTCCAGGCAAACTAGCGGCCGAACAGCTCTCATATACCGTGGTCAAATTTGGTGGATGGAAATCGCGCTCAGCTGCACTGGGCCAACCCTGCTGGCAGCGTCAAGCGGAGTCTACCGATGCCTAGTTCAGGATGCCCTGCTAGCAGTGACAATGTGGAAAGTCATGATTGACATGTCTGATGGGTACTATAGATTAAAACAATTGCGCAGAATAAAACAATTGCGCAGCACGCTTCAGGGATGCTTACATTATACAGCTGAACATTGCCTTATAAATGGTGGTTTCCCTTTATTTTGGTGGACAGAGCCATGTTTCAAATAGGCAAAATGTATCTTTTGAGGAGCCCTGCGCTTGGCAGCATCAATCACATTATTCAATGAGACGCAGGGTTATGCTTGTTCACCCCATTTACCTCAATGGTTAGCCTTTGCCGTACAGTTGCCGTTGTGGACACCCGCGCCTGCAATCAGCTCATCGCACTAGAGGACGCGCTCTGCTCAACATGCCAGTTGCGCACAAAGCATGGGCACTGGTGTAGGTGGTCGCTTGGTTATCGTTTCGCTTTCTGCATGCCCGCTACTTTGACATGCTTAGCTGTTTCCATCGAAACTTGTTGGTGAAAATACCTATATGTGCTGATTTAGTCAAGCAAGTAGACATACTACAACGTACGTCGTTCGATAGCCAATTGACACACTGGCCGACAGCTTGCATCACACTGGGCAACACGATCGCGCCCTGACCATTCGGATGAGCTTGTTGTATGCTCCACATGGCCCAGTGAAGGGAGCTTTCTTTGCCGGCCTTGAGCAAGAGCAGTGACGAAAAAGCGCAGGCTATCATTACATCCGTTGGGAGGTTGCTCAATGAAACGGGCGAGCCCATCTCACATATTGGCCAAAGCTCATGACTGTTTTGTGCATGGAAGCCAAGCATGCACAACCAACGCGGATTCTCCCACTGCCCTGTAATATACATGTTTCCATCATATGACATGGCCACTTCTCCAACAACGCCCTGTTGCACAAGAAAGTTACAAGCTCATCTTCAGCCCTTCATGCGGTCTTCTGCCAGTGGCTCAAGTCACTAGTCAAACTTCAAATTTGAAAACTGTAGATTGGCCCAAAGATGCTAGACTTGGGTGGGTTGTAAACCATTTCGCAAAACTGCAAGCAATGCTTCTTGCGTTCTGTTCCACATGATAGAAACCAAGGGAAGGCAGAAGCGCGAAGAGACATCAAGCGCAAAGAAGCTAAGGCTGCCAGCATTACACACTGTAAGCAAGACCAGCCCACGAGCAGGCCCTCTTCACACTGTTCCATCAAGGAAACGGCAGACTCTCCAACCGGAGTGCAAATGGTCTCGAAACTGCAAATGCCTCCTTTTCGCTTCCAAACGCTCCTTCAATCATGATCCGACTATTCTGCCTCTCGATGTGAATTGATACAACTTGTTGCGATGTCTCTAACACCATGATGCCCCTACGTGAAGTGGTTGCTGACAGGACATTGAATCAAACACACTGGATTCTGGTGTCTTCTTTGAGGCAATTTCCTTGAAATCACAACTCAATGCATCACCGCGATATGGCTGCAGCAATGTCTGCCACCTTGCTCATGCGGTGTGCTGCCTCACCGGCTCAGGTGACATACTCCGAAGGCCTCTGCAACACCTTCCGTGGCTGAGGCAACTGTGAAAGCCATCTGAAAAGGTGAATGCTCTTAATGCTCTTAATGCTCTTAATGCTCTTAATGCTCTTAATGCTCTTAATGCTCTTAATGCTCTTAGACTTTACTTTAGCAATGGGTCCGATCCCAAAGTTACGGCGTTGGCACGCCCTGCGCCAGGGCCCCGACATCAATTGATTGAAATAACACGGAATCAACCTCTAATGCAACTAGGATTGATAGGTCAACTATTGTTGTTCACAAGTCTGGGAGGAAATGATGCTTGATCAGCTGTCTCCTCAAAACAACTAAATGACTTAGGCACCACCCAAAGACAAATAGCTTTACTTGTGCTCATACAACGGATCAGTTCAATCTGTGCCTGCTTCCAATTTCATGAGGGTTCCACGCAAAATAGAACTCCCAACAGGATCGATGACTGGGCAAATCTGCTCCAAGGTCTTCTGCACCATCTATCCAATCACGACAAGGCTCCTCCTCACGTATACATACATTCATTGTTTACACATATACATGTATATATATATATATATATATGGGGGAGAGGAGAGAGAGAGAGAGAGAACGAGATTGTGTAATCTATACTTTGACAAACGTGAATGAACTTAGATAGACATGCGATGCATGTCGCACGCTACAATAATCGCCTAAATCAAAGCTGACATTTAATCACATGTGTCACAATAGGGCCTTCAAGCCTTGCCTTGATGATGCTGTTCAGCTGGTTCTGCCGAACCTGACACGGGCACGGATGCTGCTCCAGTTGTCAAGTTGTCAGGTGTAGATTGCTGACACGCCGTGTGGCGACTATGGGGCCGGTTTCGAACATCTGCAGGAACAGTGGATGATCTTATGAATGATCAGTCGCTGATGGCGTTTGATGATAAGCATCGTCTGATGCCACACGTTGAACTCGTGCCTTGGCTCCAGTCACAGAGTGGCTAAGCTTAGCTGCTGTTGACTTGCCTAAATCCCGCTCTTGTGGGAAGGCGGCGCCGCCACATCCAGAGTTGCTAGGAGTGGCATGATCCTCCAAAACGCTTCAAAGCTGCAAAAGCGCTTGAACCATGGGCATGTCATGTCACCATGTCAATGTGAACTCGGGTACTGAAATATGAACGATGAAACGGGCCTGTGACTGCAAAAAATGGGGCGCGGATCAAGATTCATTGCTCTGCCTTTGATCCAGAGAAGCATACAAACAAACGGTATCAAATGTGCTTCCCCACTACGTTCAAGACACCTCGTGACACATGGGTTGGCCAGTATTCCCAATGCTTGAAAGGCCAAGCCGGCCGGGCAGCCAGCCGGTCAGCCAGTCAGCGCTGCCTGGCCTGTTCGAGCTCATGGATGTGCCCCTTCACCGCAGCCATCTGCTCTGCATTTGTGCCCTTGGCCCAAGCACCGTAAAGGCCCGGCTGGATGCACTTTCCAATTGATCACCAAGCTTATGAAATTACCCGGCTCCAAGAGTGAGAATTACTAAGGTTGAAATGAGTGTCAAGCTATCGCTGAACATCGTTGACATGGTCAAAGCAAGATTGCCAAATGAGCAGTGCCAATCACAGAAAATGGTCAGTTATTGAGAAGAACGAGCCGGTTCAACTCAAATTGATCTGAACTACGCCAAGATTCACGAAACCGGACATATGGCTCATCGTGACCGAAACATCAGCTCATGTGCATGCAAATGTGCATGGAAACATTGTCTATGCTGATAGGGAGCACATACATCTTATATAAAAAAAAAAAAAAAAAAAAAAAAAAAAAAAAAAACTCGTTGGTGGGACGACCTCTGACTACCGTTTGCATCAAGACGGCCCGCAGGATGAGGTGTCTCCATTCTGCCTGGGCGCTTCAAGGCGGCGCTTTGCCCGGGACAGCTCGATGTCCGCCTGCAGCTTCCGGTTCCAGTACTGGGCTAAGGTCAGGAAGTTGAGGAGCTCCCCTCACAAGCCACGCACTCACTGTACTTGTGCGTCTGTTGAACATACGAAAGTTACGTGGCTCTACCACTTCATGGATGATTTCTCAACATCGTGAAGAAACAAATAAACGCTGAGGAAAGTAAACATGGTCCTTTTCTAGGAATTCCTAAGGTCAACGATCGGGAAATGGTTCATGATTACTTCATGGCATTCAGCTGTTAGTATTTTAAAGACCGAAAAGGGAAGGCGAGACATCATCGGGGATGCGGGATGCTGCCCCAGCCTTCGACCTTTCAATCTGACAGTCAGGTCTGCATCAAGAGGCCATTACAAGCACTGCGTCCTCTCAGCCCCAATGGTTAGTGGTCCTGGACACACAAATTGAAGTTTCACTCACACCTGACTCCATGAAGAACCAATCTCACTGGCTAAGCGTGGCATCAGGGTGCATCGGCGGAGCGGCAGTCCAGCCACTGTGTGCCTGTTTCCACTGCATATTGCCGAAATGAAATCTCGCGTGCAAGACTTTAAGCAATAAGGGCAATGAGCCTGTCGAGAAGAGCCACAGCGACACTGCAAGTTCCGGATGGTGCATATCGGAACTAGCCCAAGATAGGACTACATTGGGTGTTGCATGCTGCCTCAGAGAATCCCTCTTAGAAGTCTTAGCACTGCAGCATAGAGCTTACCTGGGCCTGCATTGGACTGGCACATCCCTGGCTCCCCTGCAACTAGTTTGGTAGCCCTGAAGGACTGCAGCTGAGATACCGTTACAACGAGTCGAGTCTTTGGCTGGCACGTAGCCCGTCGCACAGTCGGGCGCAGAGAAGACGTACCTCTTGTCGAGCAGCTGATCTTATTGAAAGCTGTGAAGCCCAGCTTTGAATCCGCCTTTGCTGAAACTGCTGTTGCCTCTGTTGTTTGGCTTTCAAAATACTCACTCCTCCCAGCCAGGGGGCCAAAAACCTGTCTTGCTCTTGGCTTGACTTCAATCTTCAGGGGTTTCAAAATACCAACACATTGCAGGATTTGCTGTCAGGTAGATTGGGGGCATTGCTGTTACGTACAACCTCCAAGCCAACATTCGGGAATCGCCACTGGCGCACCCAGCATGTGGATTGGTGGGGTTCAGATTCGCTCCAGAACATGACCAGAGCAAGTTCCCGACCGTTTGTCCGCATTTTGGCAAGCAACTGGGTCCGAAAGCAAAACAAAGTTCACTTTTCACCTGTGATGACCAGATCAGTCCAAGCTCGGGCAAATTAGAGGTCACCGAAAATAATGGTCAAACTGCGTCTGCCGGTGCCTTCTTTTTCGGATGATTGAAAAACGAACCACTGGCAGATCTAAGTGAATGCCAAAGACGATATTTGCCGCCCCTTGCCTCCATGGCAATGCATCCTGCCGCATCTGCCAACCCCTGGACCCACTGATTTCGTGAACCTCTGCCGGGCGCACTCCTCCTGCCTAAAGTAGGCTGACTGGATGAACTGGTGAAGCCGGTTGAAGGCCTCTTCCTTCTCATTGATGAACTGCGACTCGTTGAAGACGTCCAGCTCGCTCTGCGCAAAAAGGGACAAGTGAAAGCACCCGGAACGTTTTGCCACTGAGCCGCGAGCTTTGTTTCAGGACTGACCACGTCTCCCAAGCAAGACTTACTGCGGTCCACCATGACTCCAAGCCCTCCCACGCCACGATTCTTCCGTGTCGAGGTGCGCTGATCGGCGGCTTCTTGCACAACTCGGGTGTAAGCTTCATACCCCCCAAGCAGTGGATCCACATGCCTGACAAGCGGCCCAGTAAAGCCTGGTCGCCTTTCACGAATCGACACAGGAGTTCTGCTGTGTGTATATATGTAGATATGTATATATATATGCTACCCGCCCCCCCACACAATACTCAGGTTATTGGCCAGAACTCTAGTGTTTGGCTAGACTGGGGGGACTCTGAAGTGAATTGACAGGACGAGCAAGCAAAACAAGCAAGCAAAAGTTCAGCGCGACCTTCAAAAGGAGTGCCCAGCTCGAAAGTCACATTGGCGTGCGCAAAGTGGATTTAAAGTCACATTGGAGTATGCGCAGTGCAGCTTAGCAGCCCCAGCTCAAACAGCGCAGCTTCTCAGCACAAGAGTAGTACGCGATGTATGCTTTGGCAGCTTCATTGCGCCTGTAACAGCTCTATTCTTTGGTGTCATTATTTGTTTGACAAGGAAATTCAGCAAACTTGCAACTGACATCCAAATCAGATATGAAAGTACTTCATGTCCCTGCGCAGTGGCATTTACATGTTTGTTCATTTATTGTGCAAGTTCCATATACATTCTGACCAAATCACATTTGCAAGGCAGCTATCTCAGGTGTGTGTTACTTGTCTAATACGGTTCGATTATTGTTAACACCAACTATTGAAACTCAAATGTATGAAGGATATCCAATTTAAAATGATTTCGAGTTCAAGCCAAGTTCAACTTTAACGAATTGCAGTTTTTGTGCGTTTCAGAAGCAATTGGAGAAAACAGCTATTGTCATGGCCAGTTAAAACTGGAAGCAGGCTCAAGTTCATAAGCGTTGTTGTCCTTATCTAACTCCGTGTTGTTTTAACCAAGTAAGAAATGAGCCAAACCAATAACAGAAACCTGTTTTCAAACATAGATACTACAAAATGTGGCGTAAAAGGCTGTAAAACGCAGTGTTTCAGAATTCGCTCAGATCATGGTGGCCTGGATCGAAGGCTGAATATTCAAGATTGCGCATAAATTGTTTTAGAGCATCCTCAATCCTGGCCCCCGAACAGCTTGACTCTTTAAGGTTTTCCCGCCTGTATTGCAAATTGAAGATCTCTCAGATTCTGCTTTCAGAGAATGGTCCATCCCGGCCAGCCCCCAAGTCCCCTAAAAACTGTAAAGTGTTGAAAACAAACGTTTCCCCCCTGACAAAAGGGAGGCGCACATCCACAATTTGACTCTTGGTCCTTGTCTGCCTTTTTGAATTCTTCAAAATCCATACTTGGGCAATCCAAGATGTTCTAGCACATACTTAAAGATTCTCTGACAACTCTTTCTGAACTCTATCAAATCTGTACAACCCCGCAAAGAGTTGTAAGAGAATCTTCGATCTTCAATCCAGGAAGTGCTAGCACGTGCTAGAACATCCTGAATTGCCCCAAGTACTGATGCTAGAATTTGTGTCTTGCAAAGGAGTGCATCTTTAGAGCATTGTTCTTAGAAGCTGGAAAGTGCATTCCACATGCATTGTTACAGCAACTAACCTCAGTATTGCAGGGAGGGGTGCCATGTATGTGTATGTAAAAGTACCAGCTCTGTTTGATGTGTTGTGGTCTGTACCATTCGCGCACCACGCATCTCGCTCACATACCCCAATACGGGCCATTGGACTGCCGTTCAACGAAAGACTGCTGCGGCAAGGCCACTGAAGCATACCTTGAAAACATCTGTGTGTGTGTGTGCGTGTGTAGTCGTCTCAAGTATGAATCCATGGGTCCATATGTGAATCTAAAATAATGCCATGAGCAAGTTTATGTCCACTGGAGTAATATTGTATGTGCGTCGGGACATGGGTGCTGTTCTGACACACATTAAACATCTTCTTGAGATCATGTTTGGCTGGTTGGCGGACATATGACGTGCACAAATGGTGGTCAAGCTTGGAGACTCCTAGCCTGACAATTGTCACATGCCTCACAACAATGCTTAGCTGATAGGTTTCTGAGTCGATTGCACAGTCCAACAACTGTCTCTGAAGTACTGCTGTGAGCAACAGGCTGGCGAAGAAAACTGTGAACATCCCAACAGTACACCTATGCATGCCTGCAAACTTGGTGATTGCTCCTGTGCCCATTGGCCTGTGCTAAAGAAAGCCTGCCCTTTAAACCCTACAGCAGGACACCTCTGACGCGCCTTCAACCCCAGCTATTCTTGTGGGTTGAAATCCCGGTTTGCGGCAGTCTGCAAAAAGGGGCACTTCCAGGCTCACCCAAGCAAGCGCTTCACCGTCAGTCCAGCTGCGGGCAGCGAATCGTCGCTCCAAGGGAATGGGGGAGTTCCAGCCATGCCTGTATGCCTTAGTCCGTCTGTGCCAGGGTCAAACACCAATCTGTTTGTTTCTTAGTGGTGTGTTAGTTGAGTTGCTGTTGCTTGTGCGAAGTATGTTGTCACATTGTCTGATTGATGTCCGGTGTGCTGCTTGTCTTGCATAAGTCCATCTTTATCTATGATTCTAATTGTCCAATATCTGGATAATTGACTTGCTTTGGTGTATCACTTGCTTGATTGCGGTTGCCGCATTTCGTCATAAATTGATATGTCGATATGTCATTGTGTTGCTATTGTCGTTTTCCCTGTCATGGTATGTCATACACCTTGTCAAAACGACTTTGCGTGCGGTTGGCTTCTATTTCCGTGGCTGGTTTCTGATAATGTTTCCATCCGTGCTCTTCCGGTACGGCTATGCGTCTTATTCCTTTGCTTGTTTGATTCCTTGTCTTTGCATGTTCGCTTGCCTGTTTGCTGGCTGGCTGCTTGTTTCATGTTAAGTTGTGTGCCTGATTGGATTTTGTTTGTTTGTGTCTTTGTTTGTGCACGTGCTTGCTTGGTGTTTGGTTGTTAGGTTGTTTGTTTGTGTGTTTGCTTGCTCGCTTGCTTGTTTGCTTGCTTCCTTGCGCTGTTGCTTCTTTCTGTCCTTGTTTCTTGGTTTCTGCGTTTCTGCGCCTCGTGATTCTTTGCTCCTGTGTTTGCTCGCTTGTTTGCTTGCTTGCTTTGTTGGTTGGCCGGCCGGGGTACTGGCTGGCTGGCTGGCTGCTCGCGCGTTTGCTTGCGTGTTTGGTTGCTTGGTTGCTTGGTCGGTTGCTTGCTTGCTTTGTCGGTTCCCTTGCGTGTTCGTCGGCTGGTTGGGTTTGTTGGTCTTTTTTGGCTTTATTCGTTTGTTGGCTGGTTGACTGGATGGCTTGTTGGCTCGCTGGCTGGCTGTGCTTGTGATTGTTTCTTGGCGCGTGTGTTCTTCTGTTGTGTTTTGTTGGTCCTTTGCGTTGGGGCTCATTTGCTTGCGTGCCTCCTTGACCTGTTTACGTGTTGTTCGTTTGCTGGCTTGTTCGCTTAGTTGTGTGCTACTGTTTGGTTTCTTTTTTTCTTGTTTCCTTGTTTCCGCGTGCGTGTGTTCGCGCATGCCGTGTGTTCTGTTATCTTTGCTACGCTTGTTTGCTTGATTGTTTGCTCAGGCTGTGGCGCAGCCCCATCTAGATGCGTGGGAATGGCCAGAGCTTGGGGATCTACACTGTTCCTTGAAGACATGAATTTCACAAGCATCAAGACGACTCCTTGGTTCTGATGGTTTCTTGTCCGACAACTAGTCTGAGAACGGTTGTCAAGTTCACACAAAAGCAACTTGCTCAAGAACCCTCACACATGAAATTGCGAGATGTCCTGGCAGCAGAGGTGCCCCTGTGAAGTAGGCGGCATAGAGAGCTGCCCTTAGCATCAAGGTCCAAGTCCAGTCCGCGCGTGCAACGGTCAAACTCCACAGAGGGTTTCGTGTTTCTTGATTCCGCAGCTCGTGTTGATTTGGAAACACTATTCAAGGTTGACACACAGGGGCATAGTGTCCACACATATTGGCTTAGCACGCGCAATCCATGAGACAAGCCTCGCGCATGATGCTTTGGAATCCCATGAGTTAAGATTGTCCAATTAGCTTTGAGATTCCCAACTCATCGAAGGCGCCACATTGGCGCTACCAAGTGATCCACAACTTCAAACGGAACACCCCCCCTTTTTTCCGCGCGCTTCGGCTAGCGGAAAGCGCTGGTTGAGGCACCCCCAGAAAGATGCCCAAGGCTCGTACCAGCTTGGAAAGCCTACCGGAAGCAGCGCACAACTCCACAAGGGTTGTGAAGCTTTTTTCTTTCGTGTATCTCTGGAGTGTGCACTTCTTGTCCAGCGCTGATGAACTGGGTCCGGTCCCCCTCGTTCTTGCTAAGCATAAGACGCAGGCGCCGACGGCCCCCGCTGGAGGAACACTTCTCCATGGATCTTTCCTTTGGACCAAGCGCCCCCCAAGTGGGCGGCTACTGCTGGGTGGCCTCGAGAGTGCCGTTGTCGTGGAAGAAAAGAGCTGCGTCCCCCGTAAACACTTGCGGTGGACCCCAACACCTTGCGTGCTGTTGGCCGCCCAAGCACGTCATCATCATTGCCCCATCCAGGCTGATTCCACGTCCGAAGCCAGGACCGCCCGCTTCACCAAGTTGGCGAGGTACCGCTCCATCGAGGCACGGGCCTTGACCTTAGCCTCCGCCACGCAAGTGCCCGCGTACATGCCGGAATACATGGCTTTGAGAGGGGAGAGGGAAAAAATCCAATCAAAAGACTGGAAGGGGTCCACTTGAGCCAAAATGCTCCCCAAGTGGACCCTTACGCTGAGTTAAGACAAGTGCACACCTACGGCTACACTTGAGCCCAGTCGGTACTGGAAAACGACCACAAGGTTGGTTGTGGAGGACAAGAGTCAACGCAATGCAATCATACATTGAAAGCTGTATGAATGAATGCATGCACGAGGTAGTACCTTCAACAGATCTTGTGGACGCTTCCGATGACAGGTCACTGGGCTGACAATCATGCTCGTCCACTCATCAGGCCTTTGTTTCCCGCTACTTATCCTGAGATATGCTGATCCTTGTCAGCAAAGGCAACACTAAATGAGAATTGAAGCCTCAAACTCATTGACATCAAAATGCCAAGAAACCAAAGACCCCGTTGAACAGGCCTGGGGAGCTTGAACTGCCTTGTGGGGTCCGGATGGCTCGGGGGTGCAGCAAAAAATCAAACCCAACAGAACGGCCCCTCAATCAAACCAAGCTCTGACAAATGTCACCAGCAACGACCTCATTCGTGTCTGCGCCTTCACCAAATTGAAGAAGCAGAAAATAATGATTTCAAAAAATACAACTCCTCCACGACATGCGCTCAAAAGGTCTGTCCAACAAGTTTGCTTGGTAGCCCAGCTACGGCAATCCCGCATTACCTTACTGCGCAGAGCTGTGGGGGATGACCACTGCTGTCATACAGCAGCAACGGCTTCCCAGAGACTATTCTTGTTCATATAAAGTGGGATTCAATTGCATCACTGAAGTGGGATAAACCCCTCAATCAAACTCTTCCTATATACCTGTGCCTGGGCAAAAACAAGGCCCGGTTTCCGTCCACGAGCATCCCTGGAAGCTTCAGGTAGTGCTTGCAGCTATGCACAGCCAAAACCATATACACCTTGTATATGGATGATGTAAGCAGCTCGATGCGACTTCACGCCCATGAACATGGCCCGGACTTCAGAACAGAGAGAGGCCAAACTAAAGCTGGCAGGAAACTTAAACAAAGCACTTTTGAAAGCCCCCATGATGAGAGAACAAACCGACACGCGTGCAGTAATGTTCCACATTTCGTTGCATCAGAGAAATCTATACCCAAACAAGACCTTCAGCGTAGCAGGTTTGGTGAAGGTCTGCTGGGTGGACCTGTATGTGTACAGCTTGAACATTTGAAATCCAGCATATTGAAGCCTCGCAATGGGCAAGCATTGAGCAGAAAACATACAAAAGTTCGGTTTAGCTGTGCAATCAGTGAGTCCAGGCGCTTGGCATCAGTCTGAAACTGAAAGGTGAAGACTCCGTGCTGGTAAGTATCCTTCACGCAGCACAACCTGAGCACTCGCTAGGCCGCTCAGTCTGAAACACACGGGCATGAAAACAGAATAAGGATGCTGATATCCAGCCCTACACGAAACAAAAGACACTTAAGCTTACAGGGTGTGGGAGAGCTACAGACTTGTGTTTTGTCGGGATAGCAGCTCTGCAGATTGGTGGCCCTTCCTAGATGTAGTTTGGTGATGCCCAGTGACATCGCCTTTTAGAAACCCGAAAACAGCCACGCAATACCAAATTTGCAATCAAGACAATTGAGCCTGGTGGTTTCCCCAACCACTGCAGACGCATCGACCAACTGACCAAGCTAAATTTGTCTTGCACCGGGCCAGCTTGGCAGGCCTCTCTTTCGCATGCCAGCATCACTATCATGCCTGGGGCACGAGAATCCGGCCTACGCCTGCATGTCTTGCCACCCACAAAGCCAGTGATTCTGAATGGACAAAAATGCCCGAGCGGTAGTTTTGCAAATCTTAATCTTTGCAGCTCCACTCCAGTGCTATTACTGAAAATTGAGGGGTCGGTCAAGTTAACATGCATGCCTTGCTTCTACGGCCGTTATCTGCAGGTTTATCCTCGAACCTGCTTTTTTAGGGACACCGCGGAGTGATTTGCATCAATCACCTGCCGGGTCAGGAGTCGGGACTTCAACAAAATGTACAACTTAAAACGAAAAAGACAAAACGCAGGCTTCAGGCATGTTAGTGCAAGTATGATGAACATCCTGGACTAGTGAAACCAACCAGCGTGTAAGGGAGGAATGAAGGTTCTGGCAGACTGTGCATTAGAACAGATCAGAAGCAGCAAGTAGTCTCTGTGTCCAAGTGCAAATCGCAACTCCCTCACGTGCTGACTTCTTTGAGGGTTCAAACAAGAGTCTCCTTGAAACATCTTGAAACCAATCGAACCCAATCTACATCGACCATAAATACGGCAAAAGCAAAGCAAGTGAGCCTGCCGAAACAAAGCCCCCATGCAGCCATCAGGCGTCGAACGCGCGCCATCGCTGCTCCCGGCAGCGAGACCGGCGCACAAACCCAGCAGATGGCGCCACATGGCCAGCACCAGCACAAGTCTTCAAGTGATCCACTGTATGCTGCAGCTATGTCTAGTAACTGAATATGTATATTATAATATATATATATATATATGTATATATATATATATATATATTTTTTATATATATATATATATATCAATGTATAGAGCATGCGAGAGTCGCTGCTGAAGTGAATGCCCATGGCACCTTGGCACAGTCGACCTCATGTTTCAGGGCAAACACCTGGGTGGTCTCCGGTGAGTTTGGCAGGCAACGAGCCAATGGCCTCGGGGAGCGAACCCGCGTGTCACCGAAGAATCGGCCCAGCGACATGAGCGACTTGGCAGAAAAGCTCTTGAGCTTCCAATGACCACGACCTCGAGGCCAAAAGTTTGATGGGACTGTCCGTTGCTTGGCACCGTTGGACACCACTTTAGAAACATGAAGGGTGTGGACTGCCTGATGCTGCCCCACTGAAACGCAATGGTCGGGTGCTTCCCCACTCCAAGACGTACCCAGTTGCATACATTATTTTCAGTGTATTTTTTGAGCGGTTGGATGAGTATCATTTGCGTGTGTACCCTTGGGATGACCCTGGAATCGGTACTCCTGTGAGTCATTTCTTGCGTGCCCCTTCAATCCTCTGAAGGTGCGGTATTTGACTTGGTTTGGTCTTAAACCCGGACCGCACTTTCCTTTTGCCTCATGGAGCTTCCTCGCAAGAGGAGCCGTACCTGGAGCGAAACTCCAGCTGTGCAAACTGCAGCAGCTCGTGGTCCAAGTGGTTCACCTCGAGCATACAAAGACATTCTCAGCGATGCTCAACGAAAATACATGAAAATACGGGAACTAGGCTGCCAGGTGACGGCGAGGATCTCCTTCCCGACGCTCTCATGCAAGAACTCGCGCCAGAATTTCCGGCTGGCGCCGTTGAAACTCAAGCGCCGGCTCAAGCGGATCTGCCGGGCTTTCTCCATGACGGGTTTCCAAACGTGCAGCTCCTCAGCTGGGTCAAGAAGGAGAGACCTGCAAAAAAGAAGGGATTCTCAATGGATTACCAAGTAACATGATCCACAGTCAGCAAACCTTTGCAAAAGCCGATTCAACATGTGAGAATTGAACTGCTTACGAATACTTAGAAAGAAGTGGGCTCAACATAAGGTGTGCTGCGCAGGCACCTGCTTATTTGCCAGCTCTAGGGCCAACTTCAGGTCCCATCCCAATAAGGGAGCAATCGCTTCGATTGACTTCTTGAAGCACTCCACAAGACCGAAGGCATCTAAGGAACGCAGATGCTCTTTGGCCAACTGCAGCAAGCTGCTTGAGTTTCTCTCCCAGTCATAGGCCAATGCAGGATACCCCGGGTTCTCTGTCTCACAAATGCAGGCATTGCCACCACAACGCGTCTTGTTGCATTCAACACGCCGGAAGCCCAGTAAGTAAAGCGTCTGCCGATTCCGAGAAGGGTTTCTCGGATGATGTAAATATTGTTGAAACGAAACACTAAGATTATCGATGTTCAAAATCGCATCTATCCCAGCGATGTCGTTGGCATGCACATCCCACTGGTCGAACGACAAGAACTGCCGATGCTTAACCCGGAGCATGAAATACTCCGACATAGTTCTCTCCTCAGTCGCAGGCCGCCAGAACTTAGAGAAATCTCAACCTCTCCCGAAGGTTCACAGGTTCATGGATTTTTACTGGGAAAAAGGGAACTGTTCATCTCTTCACCCCAAGTCTCGACAGGTCCGCGGAGAAAGGTCACAACACATCCACGTCCTTTCCCCATTTGGCTCAGCTGCCTTGCAAGGTTGTATTCAAGGTGATAATCGTAAAGCTCCACACCGCATGTTTGTTTGCCAAAGGCACAGCGGTCCCAATTCTGTTTGCATCTCTGCCGACGCTTGCCGCACATCTTCTGCATCATTTCATGTCCGAAGGTTGTGGAGGCCGTTTTTTGGATCCGCAGAAAGGAGATGGTTGAGCAATGTTGCAACTGCTGCAAAGGCTGTGCAGGCGCAGGCGTTGGACTGAATGCCAAGGTCCCGGAAGTTTCAGAAGTGGTCACTTCAGGCTCGACAGCCTTCACCTCGAGTTGCGGCTCTCTTGGAGGCTCCGAAAGCAGTTTCAGCGAGAGCACTGGTCTCAAATTGTTCTCCGCCACATATTTGCTGCCAATGGCCGCCAGCAATGCCAAGCTGCAAAAGCAGATGGTCAGACAGCTTCTGAGGTCAAAGCTGAAACCCGTACCACCACGCCGCGCCCTAGGCATTCTATCATGTCGTTGGCATGCAAGGAGCGCAGGGGACAAACAAAAGGTGAAGACACTCGAGTTAAGTCTAACCAATATTGCCTGCCTCGGGTGTGACCAAATTGGAAGCCTAAAGCAAACTGATCTGTCATAGCAGCAAAACTCTCCAGTACTCCTTTTTCTTTGCTTGGTCCTATGACAGTGTTGCGGAGTATTCCCAAGCTCAAAGGATGCTTGTACGCTGTGCACCTAGGCGGTAATTTTGGTGTGCAAGGCAGCAAACTTAACAGCATACTCCATGAGAGATGAAGCTGTCCGGGATTAAATTCGAATTTAGGTTTGCATCCCCGGCAGTGCGCAAGGGAGACATGACATGTGCACATCAATGTCACATCAGTTCATGGACAGGCCCACAAACCCTGCTGTCTTAACCGCAGCTGAAAGGACGGGATCTACACAGCTGTATGCACTATATCACTGAACAGGGGGTCGTTTTGGGGGGTAGCTGTGGGGAGTGGGCGGGCGGCGCAATGCGAAACCAACAAGTTAAAGGCCTGGTGCAGTGCTCCTAGCCCAAAAGAAACCTTGAGCCCTAATGAAAAACGGTCTCAGCACTCACGCACCTTTTTCCGGGTTTGCGTGAAAGGCTGCACATCCTCAGGGCACACGCAGTTCGCCTCAGATTAAAGCCAAGCTGCTGAAACCCCTCTTCAGTGCGGGTTGGCGCCTGCAACCGGGAGAATGCATGCCAAAGAGCGATGCGTCAAAGTGGCTGGCCCTTTTTGACTACTCTGCAGTGGACGATCGCTATTGCGCGTCCGTTGCAGCCAGATGTTCTGGCCTCCTAGGCGCATCTGCTGGGCAAAGCTCGAGGCCCCTGCCAGCACGTGCAAGGCTTACAGGGCTGAATCGGACGGCGATGCTGGAATCTGGCAAGGCGATCACGGCTCGTTACACCTCCCAGATACATGGGTAGGCTGAAGCGGCTGTTGTGGTAGCGGAGCAAGAGATCCATTCAAGATGTCATCCAATGGAGAAGGCTTCATGCAAGCCTATTCAAGCGCAGGCCGAATTTCTCGATGACAGCCAAGCAACCCATCGTACGATGGAGAAGTGAGCTGGCTCAGATAAAAAGAACTCATGAATGATTGCGATCGAAGCATCCCCTCAAAAGCAGACTCCAGGGAGACGCCTACATTTACAAAGAAGTTCTTGACAACGACTTGCTTCAAGATCCAATCAAAAGAGCCAACTGCTTCCAGAACACGCTGAGAAAGTACTTCTTGAAAGGTGCAACACTGTCACACACGTGTATCCGTACAGATTCCTCGGTTTTTTCAATCATCGACGACAAAACACGGAGTCCCTCGGGTCCCTCATCTTCACATCATTTTTCCCGAAAGCATCGCAAAGGGTTCTTTGGAAAAAACGGCTGCCTGCTACAGCTGACGTACGCAGCGTGACTGACACAGCCCGACTTACGCAGCCTACCTAGCTTACGCAGAGTGACTTACTCACATTAACTGACGCAGCCTGACTTCCGATTTACGCAGCCTACCTTACGCAGCGTGACTTACGCAGCGCGCCTAGCTTACACAGCGTGGCTTACTCAAACTGACCTACGCCGCCTAACTCACGTAGCCTGATTTACGCAGCCTGAGCTACGCCGCCTGACTTACGCAGCCTAGCTTACGCATGACTTACGCAGCCTGACTGGCGCAGCCTGACATACTCAGCATGACCTACGCCGCCTGACTCACGCAGCCTGATTTACGCAGCCTGGCTTACGCACCCTGACTGAACGCCGCTTGACATTGTCAGCTTGACATTCTCAGCTTGACGATCCTGGCTTGACATTCTCAGCTTGACACGCTGCCATAGCTGACTTGCGCTTAGCTTACGCAGCTCAGCTTACGCTACCTGACTTCGCGCAGCCCAGCGTATGCAGACGGACTTAAGCAGCCTAGCTTTCGCAGCCGGACTTACACACCGCTTGCAGACTTGGCCACAGTGACCAGGACAGTGTCTGATCACGTTCATGCTTCACGCAAAGAAAGCAGCTTGCGCCAAAGCCAAGCGCAAATTCTTGAAACAAATCCCAGCATTAACATGGTCCAACACACGTGCGGGTAAGCTTACCTGCGTGTTCAACGTCATGCTCCGCTGGCACAAAATGTCAAGCTGCGCGCTTACACCCACGCGTGCAATAGCGACTGGGTTTTGGCAAAAGCTGCAAGAGTGTGTGTAAGCTACGCGGCGGCTGCGTTCAGGAAGGCACGGCTTACATTCTCGGCCGCAGGCCAGACCCCAGTCCCCACGCCGGTCAAAATCCGACAACTATTGCCGCTGGGAAAAACGCAGGGAGCAGCAAGCGCAAAGGTATTTCAATCCCTTCCTTGAAATACGGCCCGTGCCACAATTCGTAAGGCGCTTACACAATAAGCTTGCCTGACCCACATCGGTCCAGACATGACATTGGGCCCTGTTATACCGTTCGTCCACCCACAGATTGTCCAGACATGTCCTTGGGTCTGTTATGCTGTTCGTTCATCCTGCGTCTTCTCGCACGAGTTCAGTCTAACCAGAGGTGCGGGGGCAAGCGGCACCGAGGAAACAGTTTGGATTTTTCAAATTGCCGTGGGTGCCAGGTTTCAAAGCCACACGTGGGCGAAGACGGCAAAACATGGTTCGTTAGAATCTTGATCACTGCTTCAATCCGAAGGGAACATGCAGCAAAAAGAAAAAAGAGCACGACCGACAAACCTGTGCGCATGCTCTTTTTCTTTATAAGGCGTTGCTTGGAAGTTAAGACTCGGGGGTGCAGGGGGAAAGACAGCGCGTGTCCTTTCCCCGGGTCTGCACCCCTCTGCGGAGCCTTCTCAAATGCCCCCGTGGTCAACATGCATGTTCGACCAGGCGCCAGGCGCGTTACCTGCGATCGAGGGCATTGGTGGCGGCTGGATGCAATGTGCATCCGGCTGGTGCGCAATGCGGCGCACGTTGCCCGGTTGAATGCGGCACACGTTGCCCGGTTGAGACCTGTCGCAACATTCTCTGCATGCCGGGGCATGCTGCCTCTGGGGCGCAGCTGCGGCTGGGCCCTGGAGGATGCAATGCGTGCAACCTGTTAGTGTGCAAAGCGGCACATGGCGCAAGGTAGAAAACCTGCGGCCACTTCATGAAGGGGCCCTGGAGGATCCACCTGGGGTGGGCGCAAAAAAGAGAGGGGTAAACCCTCACGCATGACCCTTGAATGGCTTGAAGCAGAAAACGGCAACACGTCCGAAGATTCGATCAAGATTAAAACATAAGGGAAAAGGAAAACCCTAAACGTTAGAATCTTGATCACTGCTTCAATCCGAAGGGAACATGCAGCAAAAAGAAACAAGAGCACGACCGACAAACCTGCGCGCGTGCTCCTTTTCTTTATAAGGCGTTGCTTGGAAGTTAAGGCTCGGGGGTGCAGGGGAAAGACAGCGCGTGTCCTTTCGCGGAGCCTTCTCAAATGCCCCAACTTCAGGGTTCCAAGCAAACGGCCTAATCTATCACCCCCCTTTTCAGAGCGTTTACGAAGCACTCTTACGCTCCGGCCGCCATGGGGCGTCGGGAGGATGCAATGACAGCATGGATTTGTGGGGCCAGAAATCATGTGGGCTAAAACGAACGCAAGCTTGCGGCTTGTTGTCGAACGCGGACGTGTTTCCGCGGCTGAGTTGATCAGCCCACACGTTGCGCTCGCCTGGAATACGCGAGGCTAGCACTGACCATTTGCGCTTGTAGGCCCATGCGGCAACCAATTGCACAAAAACTTGCAAAGGCCATGCTGTGCTGCTGCGGTATTGTCTGCGCCGGAAGGCATGCATATGCCGCGCACTGCTTGGCCCTTGGCGGTCCACGCGACTCGCACGAGAGCTGGGCCAAGGTTTCGAAGCACGCTATGTAGGTGAGGCAAGGCCACTGCTCCTAGACTTCTTGGAAGTCCCACGTTTCTGCGACCCATGAGACGGAGCGGCTGGATATAAACCAGCCGCCTGTTCCGACTTTGGCGCCTTCGGCACAAGCATCGGCGGCTGCTTTGCATGCCATAATCGGCTTGCTTCGCAGCCGGCACGCCAAGTCAGCCTGAAAACATTGAAGGAGCCACTCGATATTAGTCCTGCTTGCCGCGCACAAGCAAGTGTGCTCGGCAGCGGGGTCGGCTACGCGCGCCCACGCAGGCTTGTGACTGGGCACGACGCGAGGCAAGTCGGAGGGGCTGCGTACTGGGATTTGCTGGTGTTCTAATACCCTGGAGCCCAGCGGCATAAAGATGCCGTGCACGGGCGAGGCAGTATGGCTTTGGCGTTCAGTGCTGAAAGGAATGCAGGCCACAGGTGCGCTCACTGAGATCATGCAGCCTGGCGGCGAACGCAGATCTGCGTATACGGGCGCAAGCCATGATCTTAATTCCAGACTTAGGCTGGTGGCCCAGATGAGCAGCCCCAGGACTTGCTCCAAAAGCTTTCTTTTGATTCTTTTGGATCGGAGCAATGCGCACAGCTGCTCTTTTAGCTTCAGGGTTTTAAGTGGGGTGAGTTCAATAGTTTCCAGGCTGAAGTTGATTGACCATCCGCACCAAGTCAGGCAATTTTGGAATTGCACTTTCTTCCAGGAAATGGGCGGACTGATGGCTGTGAAGAAGATGACAACTAGCGCCAGTTGTTGGCGTGCGTCTGGGCGACGCAGCGTGGCAAAAGGTCATCTACAAACAACCAAGCTCTATGCGGGTATGCTGACAGGATGCCGTGTAGCAGTCGGAGCAAGAAAGCTCCTGCGCGTTGCCACCAGTATGCGGCCGAAGTGGCACACCCGATAATGGTACAGGTAAACAGGAGCAAGCCATGTTTGCTAGGGTGTACTTGAACTTGCTTGTGTGCGGCTTTAAAATCAAAACTAGCTCCTATAAAAGAAGCATGCGTGTCTTCTGGCATAAATGCCAGGCGCACATCGGATGCCGTCGCCAGGCTGATGCGTTCTGGGATATTGCATTTGGGGTTCACCCCGCACACGGTGCTCCAGGCGTGGTTCTTTCC